CACACACACACACACACACACACACACACACACACACGCACAGATGACACAGTCAACTGACCTTAAAAATCAATGACTAAAGTTTGGTCAGTTTTATAGATGTGCTAAAATTTAAGGTGGTAGTAGCTGAGACAGACAACAAACTTTTTTTTTTCCATTTTTGTTTGCCAGATTATTTCTTTGTTGTAACAATGCTTCTTGGCAATAAAACTTATATTGTTGGAAAGCCTGTTAATTTCCCTTTTAAATGGCGCCAYATTTATAAGGAACATGCATTTGTGGGGTGTGCAGAGCTGAGTACGTGGGTTGTGCACTTGAACGAACTGCCAAATCTTATGCCAAACAACTTATTTTGCTATTGTTTTGAGCTTCTGGTACACCCAGGTGCTGCCGATAGTAAGATTTATTGCCGTGAAACATTTTTTTACAACAAAGAAGTTACCTACCAAACACAAATTTTCTTTACCTTTTGTGCTACATTTATTACCAGGTTACTCAAGAACTGTTTACAGCTTTGCCATTGGCTATTTCAAGTCAACTTTACGAGCAACATATCTCATAAACCACTGAAACTTTCAGGAAATAATCATTGGATGTACATCTACAGCTGAATACCTTTAGGAGAATTTAAAAGGAATTTAAAGAAATGGATCTTTGAAAACAAAATGACTAACTCAGCCATTTTTACAGATCTTGAGCTAAAATTTGGTGTGGTAGTAGCTGAGGGTCATTCAGAACACATACTCTGAACAAGACATCTTAAAATATTGCTCAAGATTACATATAATAATCTCAAGGTTTGATTAAAATGGCAACAACTCCTTTTCTTAACATAAGATGATTTAAGTCTAATAAAATTCTGGCTTGAAAAGCCGTGGCCGACATGATTCCTTTGAAGGGCCAATATTGTGTTTCTCAGGCATACATTAAAATACTATAATAAAGTATCTATGTAACCTTTAGCTGTTATTAAAATGCTGTTTTTATGTTTAAATAGAAAATAAACTTATCTTTTCATCACTTCCTCTTCTAAATGTCTCAAAATTG